GGTGGGAGGTGCATTTGGGGTGCCATTCAAGTGAATCGTAATGCAATGCACTTCTCACACCAAAATGAATGGTAGATGCGATTGCGAAGTACAGTGTGTTAATCGCATGGGACTGTGCGATTAATGCACTGTACTAGTGTGAATGGGCCCTCAAAAACACACAACCACAGACACAATCTCACACGCACACATACACACTCCAACATTTTTAAGATCCACCCAGTCTCCCTACCTTATGAGAACTGGAGTGGATCTTTAGCCTGGGGTCCGGTGTGGGCCTATGTGCTGTGATGGAGCTCCATTTATATGTGCATTGCTTGTACAGTTCCCTTGCACACCCTGTAGAGGTGCCGAGAGCTAGTATGTTACATCACACCGGTCCAGGCACCTCTACAGGACATGCGAGGGAGCTGTAAGCAATGCATGTATGGATGGTGCCCTCCCTACCTCAAGCTGACACTCGGCACCGGGCAGGATATTTTGAATGGCTGCTTGGCGCAAGAACTGACAGAGCTGCGCTACGGGGAGGCTCAGGAGCCTCTCGCCTAGAAAAGTGGAAGGCACACAGGGACCCACTGAACAGAGGGTCGCGACCCACCAGTTGAGAACCAGGGTGTTAAGGAAGGTTAAAAAAACAGATTTCCTGCCCGGATCAGGTAAAAAAAGAAAGCCCAAAAATGAAAATGAATGCAGCCACCACATCTAAGAACTGGTACGCTGCAATCGATTACATTTTGTATTTGGATTCAGATACGCTTTAAGTCTAGTAAAATGTCTAAATTACTACAAGAACATAACTTTTGCTTTACCCCAAGTTTCCTCAATCCTTGTTGGCTGTGTTCCTCATTACAATATCCTGCTTGTTCCTCTCCCCTGCTAGCTGGCTTTTATGGAGACAGTTCCACTACATTTTTTCTCCACATACCACATTTCTCCACTGCGTCTGCTTCTGTGTACACTGACACACTCCAGACCTTCCATCATAACTGAGATGATCTTATTCCTCATGTCAGTCCAGCTGCAGCGTACACACAGATTCAATATTTTACACACAACAGAGGGATCATAGCATGACAAAACCTGACACAAATAAACAATATAGAGGAAGTGGTAGGAAATATTCCCAACAGAACAGACATAAAATAAACTGTCAAGGGTTTTAACCCTTTCCTGTGCTGTTCAAAAGAACAAAAATTTGGGCCGTGAGGTTGCATTTTTGTGTCTGTAATTCTTAATCTGTTGACTATGGCAATCCTGACACATGCTTGAACTATGTTGTTGGCCCTGATCATCTCTTACTTTAATACTTCAACTCTCCAGCATCTGCCAAAATCCGAAATTACAGTTTTTTGGTTTGAAAGCCCCTTAAGCCTCCTGTTTTCTTTGTCTTGTCTTTGCCTTACAAACCTGATTTCTAATTTCTAACTGCTATGCAGTGCATGATGTGAAATTATTATAAAGAATGAATAAAAATAGATTGAACGTTAGTTTAGTCTAGAGGGTAGAGATAATTTAAAAGACAAGGGGGAGGGAATTTATCAAAACTGGAGCAGATTTGCACTGCAACCAATCAGCTTCTCTGTCTCATTTTCAAATCTTACCTGAGCAAACTGAAGAGAGATGCTGATTGGTTACCATGAGCAACTGGTACAGATTCCATCTGATCCAGTTTTGATAAACTCCCCCCAAGGTGCCTTTCCTTATGCTTGTTTTAGGTGAGTTTCCCTATTATGCTAAGACTAAATGGGGTAATTGTCATTTTATGCTATTGAGAGATTCAACCATTTGCTGGCACTTACCTCATTAAAAGCACATTGTTTTCAGTTTTTGAAAATGAGATGACTTCCCACAAGTGGTTAAAGTGTGTATAAAGGCCCCTTCTTTCCTCTATCTACACCTCCTCCCTTGGTCAGTTGATAACATCACATGGTATTGGAAACCATCTCTATGCTGATGACACAAGTATATTTTTCCACTCTACAGCTCACCACTTCGGTGTTGACTTGTGCATCACCAATTTACTGACATATCAGTCTGGATGTCACATCTCAATCTTTTAAACACTGAGCTCATGATATTTCCTACCCCACCATGCACCTTCCCCCAACTTTTCCATTTAGTTGGTATCGATTCTGGACTCTGACCCCATCTTTTAGTTTCCACATACAATTACTTTCCAAATCCTACCGCCTTTATCTCCATAACATCCTCAAAATTCACCCCTTCCTAATCAATGAAACCACAAATCTACTCATCCATTTACTTCTTACAATGTGCTCTATGTAAAGCGCTTTGTACATTGTTGGCGCTATATAAATACCAGTAATAAATAATCTTTCATTTTGACTTTTGCAACTCCCTCCTCATTGGCCTACCCCCCCCCCCTTCAGTCTATCATAAATGCTGCTGTCAGTATAAATACTGCTGCTCGCCCACTTCACCAACCGCTCAGTGTCTGCAACCCCCCTCTGCCAATCCCTGCACTGGCTTCCAGTCACCCAAAGAATAACATTCAAAATATTAACAACCACTTACAAAGTCATCCACAACTCCGCCCCCAGCTATATCTCCAAACTTGTCCCAAAGTATCACCCTAACTCTCCGCTCCTCTCCGCCTCACCCAAGACCTCCTGCTCTCTAGCTCCCTCGTCAACTCTTCCCATGCTCAACACCAGGACTTCTCCATAATCTCTCTCATCCTCTGGAACTCCCTACTCAAGCCTGTCCGGCTATCTCCTACTCTTTTTGCCTTTAGGTGATGCCTGAAAACTCATCTCTTCAGGGAGGTCTATCCCTCCTCAACCTAACCACTGAACTATTACTTTCTCAAACAATTCCCCATACAGTCACTACCTTTTTGTATCACTTGCCACTCCTTTTTAGATTGTAAGCTCTCGCAGGCAGGGTCCTCACTATCTTGTCTTGAATTGTATGGTAACTGTAATGTCTTCCTTATACTGTAAAGGACTGTGCAAACTATTGGGATCCTTTATAATAATATTAAACGTAAACTAATAAGGATCATTGTAATCTTATGCTATTGAGAGAGTCACATTTGCTGGCATGAAAGGGGGAGGAAGGGGAAATCTTCCAATGGGAACAAATATGCTGGTGACAACTGTAGCCTGGTGCAAAACCAGTTTGTTCAAAAACTCTTGACCACCACCCCTCCTCCCAACCCAATCAGTTGCTGAGAGGCGCATTCCCCACCCCGTAGCTACCGTATACAGGTGAAACTCGAATAATTAGAATATCGTGCAAAAGTAATTGCAGTAAGTGCTGCAAAAGGGGCCCAAACCAAGTACTGAGTACATATGCATGCTTGTACTTTTCAGAGGTCCGATATTGTTCTATGTACAATCCTTGTTTTATTGATTGCATGTAATATTCTACTTTTTTGAGGTTGTGGATTTGGGGTTCTTGGGTTTTTCATGAGCTGTAAGCCATAATCATCACAATTATGACAAATCACGGCTTGAATTATCTTGCTTTGCATGTAATGAGTCTATCTCATATATTAGTTTCACCTTTTAAGTTGCATTAGTGAAATAAATGAACTTTGCACAATATTCTAATTATTCGAGTTTCACCTGCTGCAACTGCCAACACTGATGGGGTCAGGAGGGCGGTGGCAGTCAGAGTTTTTAGGAGGCATTTGCAAACTCTGCCTCGAGCCCAGCCTCATTACTACTGTCAGTGATGGGAATTCCCTAAGTATGAGGAGATTTCCTCACCGAGACAGAAAATGAAGGGAAATCTTTTGAGCAAGACACAGATTGCAAAAAATAACACGAAAAGAGGGATAAGGGAAGTAAAATTTCACCTGTAGACATTGCTGTAGGCTAGCCGCAGAAATGCATTCATTATGAGTGTGACGGACCCCCGTACTCAGGATGAGTATGTCCGCCGCTGTCTTCTTCCTTGCTCTGGAGATATTGCAACCTGAAAATCTTTAGCTCTCAGTTTCCCCCGTCACTGGTCGAGACACTAGTGTAGGGTGAAACAAACTCTGATTTATTGAGCAACTGTGCAACCTTTTATACAGCAAGTGATGAGATCAGATTATAATCCCATCACATCCACCCTGCCCTCCCTAGACAATCGGTCTGCTCAACACCACAGGGTTTCCCTTGCTAACGAGCTCCAGACAGCCATAGCAGGAGCCTGGCAAGAATGTCATTGTTCTGAGCTCCTTCAGAGAACAATGAGAGATAACGAGGGATGGTGCTGACAGTCTTTTTTGATAACCAGGTTACACAGTATAACGCGCTCAAACATAACTCAACACCAATACACCTTTAATTCATGAAACTGATCACCATGTCGTCACAATGAGCATTAAAGATTTTATACAAATATCTTGAATGATGACATGCATTACAATGCACCTTAGTTTAAATGCAGCTTACAGACTTTTTTAAAAGCAGTATCTTGGTATTAACAAGTACCATTGGAAATCATTTGTTTTCATATGAAAATGTAGCAAAATACAGGGCAGCAAGTCCTTATGCCCGTTTTACATGCAATGTGTTTTTGATGTGTTACTGTATGTTTCCTGCATACATACACACAACTTTAAACACGTAGGCATGCATAAATAAGCATTCAAATTGTGTATTTGTATCCTGGTTTTGTGCATCATTCATTTCAATTAAATGTGCTTAGTGATAATATTGCTAAATGCAATGAACAGGATTTCGGATCTAATACATATTTATACGAAAACTAAGTGCGTGTCACTGCAGGAAACTGGACAAGAATAAACGGACCCTTTTACATCTAGAGAGGAGAAGGAAGAAAAACACTATCCTGTGCAATTTAGGGCAGTTACTTTTATAAAAAATAAAAATAAAGAGTCATGCACTTATTTCTTAATTAAAGGGTTAGTAACTGTGTCTGGTAATGTAGAAATAGTTTGCCTGTAGAACATGTTGGTATTGATACTGTATGTTATATCTTTGGCATGACTATTGTAACCAGAGCCTCTTGTGCGTTTTCAGGCTCGCTTGTCTTATATGCGGATTAAATACCTCTTCTTCTCATGGCTGGCAGTGTTCATCAGCAGTTGGGTCATATATGTACGTTACAACTCATACACAGAGCTCTGCAGGGGACATGAATGCAAAGCGAACATTGTAAGTATTGTCACATAAAGAGAAATAATGGCGATGGTATTTGTGTCAAAACATTAATAACAAATATGGTGTTTATATGACTACTAAGGGCCATAGCTGTATAATGTGATTGCCTAATGCCTACCTTACTCTTTCTGGCTTACATTTTGATACTTTTTATTTGCTTTTTCCAACTGGGGGATGTGTCATAGGTGTTGTAGCATGGTAGTCCATGGGTTTCTGTTATGGGGTTCTAATTTATATTAGGCAGCTTGAAGTCTGAGATTAGAGAAGTTCCCTACTACATTCACAGTACTGCCTGGTCTGTAAGTCACTTGTACCTCTATGTAGATGGCAGCGTCTGCCTGTAGCTTTCCTCTTTCCCCTCTACATCTGTTCCATTGTATCTCTGCCTTAAGTAGAGCTGGCAGGATATCACTCCAGGAACTGGCAACTATGGAGAGCCTCAGAAATGGATTAAGGGTGAATAGTGCCCTAAGCAAGGTAGTAGCTCCCATCTATTGACATTGATATGTATTGCAGTTGACACAAAGAAGCTGCCCCATTTGCATTGCCTGTAATGACATGTCTCACCCCATCAGACACTTAACTGCCTACAAGTGTATCCTCCCTTGTGACGTGACAGGCAGGTGCACAGCTTTGACCAATTGCATGGTCTTCCTGGTTTACAGCAGGAGCTTTATAGTTGTAGCTGGGCCACCTGGACATCCACCAGGCCCCTAGGCTCCTGTTTGGGTTGTGGAGCATCTGGCTCTGGAGAGCCTTTCAGAGACCATCCAGAGACTTTTTTTATCGCTCACATGCAATCTGCTAAGAGTAGTATTATATTTGCCATATACCTTGTAAAGGACACAGAGGCATAAAAGGAAAGTCACATTATCAGAGAGTAATAACTTCCTACTGAAGATTGCAGAAAATGGTGGCCTCATATCATGCAAGGCCCCTTATAAATGTGCAGTGCAGATGCATAGCCTTTATATCATTTTTGAAGGCAAAGGGTGGTAAAACCAAATATTGATTTGATTTGGATTCCTCTTTTGTTCATTTACTTCCCATTTTGTTAACTGATAAAAATAAGCTATTAACACTTATTTCTGTAAGCATTCTTTACAGCATTTTTTCACACCTGCCTAAAACATTTGCACTATATACTACTAAGCTACCTTTAAATTTAATTTTTAAGGCTGTCTTTAAAAGTGTGTAGTGTGGGGAAAATATTATTACCAAACTCAAACCATCTTGTGGTTTAGAACTAGAACAGGAAACTAAATAGGTGACCAATTCAAGGTGCTCTGATCATCACATAATCAGGTTAAGTAAGTGGAAGTTGTATAGTGGTGTCCCAATACATTCGCCAGCTGCCACTAATGCCATCAAGCGAGCATGAAATGGAACTTGCGGTGATGCCATCATGAACATGTGATTTTGAACTTTCATCTGGACTTAGACACATTTATTGCAGTCCAGAACCCTCCAGTGGGAATCCATCGTCTTAGAGCATTTATGCATATCATAAAGACAATAGAAAAATAAAAATCATAATTGGCAAAAGTGCTACTGTTGAGTTACAATTTAATATGTTAGCACTCACAACCGTGTATGACAGTCACATAATGCATGGGCTGTTTGGCTATTGTAGAAAGAAAGCTCAACTTTTTGGTAGGAAACCACTAAGTAAGTCTTTACACCTGCGGTAAAGTTGTTGATGACTGCACATATCTGTAGGTCCTCCACAATGTAGGATCTCTGAGATCCTTGGCTTCTACAAGATTCATCACCCCTTCTCTTCCCTGCATTTTCCTTTTGAAAATTAAGACTGCCCATCATAATGATGGACCAGTTCAACTTGCGATAAGGGGACATGGCTCAATTATGCAGGTACCACTTCATTGCAGTGCTGTAAGCATGTTCAGTAGCCTTAGGTTGCTGTCAGGCATAATTTCACTTTTATATGGCTTAAGCTATGAAGACTTCTAGGACATGAGGTTATATTGCTCATTGTTTATATATCATAAGTGTTAATTCATGTATCATCAGTGCTCTATCGTGTCTGTGGCTTTACTTATACCAAGTAATAATTGCAAATCCAACCCTGCATATATCATTTCAATCTAAACGTAATTTTAAGGAGGCAAACAATTCTTTCTCATTTTAAATGCACGCAAAACATTCCTTGTCTGGATGCCTGACACTAAAATAAGGGCCTTGTAATCTGTGACAAATTTCTGTCTGAATTTGTCCCCAAGGCTTTTATATAGCTTGGTGCTCACTCTTAACAGCCTTTAATTAGCCCAATTATTCTTAAGGCGTATAATTAGGAACATGTTTAGAAGTGTCATTGTGATAGGAGGCAATACGGTGAGTAACGGCATTTCAAAACATGTTAACGATTTGCTGTATGAGGCTGGAGGCAGAATTCCTGTGGGGTTTTACATTTACAGGTGTATACAGTATATGACATTTGTGAATGTATTTTTCTTTCTACACTGTCTGAAGTGTTTTATGGATGGGATTATTACTTATTCTATTTAATGTGATAATGCATTTTGTGAATGGTATTTATTAGCAATTTTCTACCATTTTGCTTGTAAATGCTGTTAAAGTATCCATTGTTCCCACTGGGAAATGTTAGAATGTTGCTTGTCTCCATGGAGCTGTGATTACAATGATCTCCAATGTGTCCTAACCAGCACCCAATCTGCTCTGACCCCCCCCCCCCCCCCCCAGCAAAAACAAGTGACAACATTCTCGACGTCAAAC